GAGGAAGGGAGCTGCTGAAGACGGCTGTAGTGATGTGCATGTAGGCAGCGCTTGCTCACAGACCCCACAGCTGAATTCTTAATGGGTATGGCATCGAGTCACCACCCTCCCATTTGCCGACCCCACAGCGGGGTTCTTTGCCCTCATCAGCGAGCTCTTTGTCGTCCCCACCACTCACTTCCGCTTTGGTTGCAGCCGTTCCAGCCGCCTCTTGCGCAGCTCGCTTCATTCACGCCGCGGCAGCAATCTGGTCCAGAAGCACCCCGCCACGAGGCGCACGTGGCGCACCAACACGTGGCGCACTGAGCCGCTGGTTGCGGTGCTTCAGGGGGTTAGGATGGATGGCCGGGGAGGGGGAGGGGGAGGGGGAGGGGGAGGGAGAGGGGGAGGGGGAGGGAGAGGGGGAGGGGGAGGGGGAGGAGGAGGCGGAGGAGGGGTTAGAGGTAGGGATTTGGGGACGGCTTTGGTGATGTGCATGTAGGCAGATGATTAGTCAACACGTGATTAGTCACACCACCAACAACACCCGCAGACCATTTGCCATCATTTAATACGGTAGATGCTGTGTACATACTACATACCTCAAAGTGCAAGTCTTTCTTTCCCTATAAAGCTGTGCTGATTTGCTGTTGGCTGGCTTGGTTGCAAGTGCCCTAGATATCAGACTTTTTACGTTGATTCAGCGTCCATTCAGACATTTTTTAGGTACCAGGTCTGAACTGTAAGTTTTTTTTAATGTACCTTCTCTGATTCGTCAGAGTTTTTTTTTATGTAGTGGCTGAAATTTCAGACAAAATGTAGGGGTGTAAGCTGAGCCTCAGCCACGTTTCGGGGGTGCACTCTGAAACGGGTACTGCAGGGGTCCGCCAGCCTGGCGGCATGTTTGCACTAACACCGTCAATCACGGGCGGGAAACGGAACATTTCCCAAGCGCGGCACCGCACCGCACAGTCGCGTTGGGCCAGGGATGCTGTAATCTGGCTCAATTCCAGCCAATCGCTGCAGCGCAGCAGGCAGTGTTGGCAAGATTCCCTGCCAACGCATAGCTTGCACCCGGACAACACCACAACCACCCACCCCCCTCCACCATCCACCGTGCCAACGCATAGCTCGCAGCACGCTGCAGCTCTCACGTGACCACATCCATCCACCCCAGTCACCCCACCTTCCCTGCACCCACGACCAGGTGCCGTGCATGCAGTGCAGTGACCAGCAGGGAGATGAGCGGTCCAAATACGAGGACCCCTCATCTTCCTCATCATCGCCCTTCGTGGGGGTCACTCCGTGCCCTGACTCTCTCGCTTCATTCAATTTCTTCGCCAGATAGTATTGCTGGAACCCTTGTTTCTGACTCTCCCTCGCTCTCGCAAAACCAGTGCTCGGCAGACTCATGGCAGCCACAGGCGCTGCCGCCGAATCGCCCGACGATGATGACGAGACAGATCGACGGCCTGCGTCAGACGCAGTGACCGGCCTGGACTTTCTACGAGCATGCTTGCCGACGCATGTCCCACCGACTACTCCACCGTCGCAACCTAGCTCTAGCCGTCCTCCAGTTTCCGTTCAACCTGAACCTGTCCCCACAGCCGTCACTGAACCGGTCGAAGCTGCGCCACAGTCTGTGCCCAATGAGGCGTCCGCTGAAGCACCATCCCGTCCCGCACCACCGTCGAAGCTGCGTTACCGTCAGACCACGTTTCCGTGGGCAACTCCTCCTCCTCCATCGACCGTTGAAGCTCCAGCGAGAGTCGAATCTCCCATGCAGGGCAGCTCAAAGCCCACCGACAAGTCTGACTCCGATAAGTTGGAGTTGAAATACGAAGAAGCACACTTTCGTTTTAAAACAAAGTGGTCTACCGATTATGACTGGCTTATTCTAACTAAAACCTCTACCGGTGCCCCAAGTTTTAAGTGCAGCATTTGCCTGGAGTTTGCAGGACTTAGAGGCAAGTGTGGACGGGGTGGTGAGGGCGCGACCGACGTGCAGACGCAGGCCTTCAAGAAGCATGAAGGCACGGTGAAGCATCGTTTTGCACTGAAGCGGCAGGAGGACCTCCTCCAGAAGTATGGCGATCAACATCGCATCGACCTACACCCGAAAGCGCAGGACAAGGAGATGTTGCAGATTTCAGCGCTAGTGGAGTCGCTGTACTTCATGAGCTCGTGCAACGAGTCCATGGACTCTTGGATTCGGCTTGTGCGCTATCTCGCGAAGAAGAAGGTGCCCGGCTTTCCAGAGCAGGGCTACGGCACGTACTACAACACGTAAGTTTCTTGCGGTTTGTAACCGCCGAAACGTTGATTTCTTCTAACTCACAGTCGCTAACTGCCTCTGGTCTTGTTTTTTTTTATACAGGTATGGCTTCGGAGAGTTAACACAGGCAATTTCAACATGGCTCCAAACAACACAGCTGGAACACCTTCTGACGAGCCCCTTCATCGGGATCACCCTTGGACGAGAGCACAGACCGGCGGCGCGGCAAACACATGATCGTGTTTGCAACCTTCCTGCATGACAAGCAAGTTGTGACAGAGTTCTTTGCTCACCTCACGGTTGAGAAAGCTGACGCTGCATCCCTGTGTAGTTTGCTGCTCTCCCACATCAGGGCTGTCGGCGTGGACCTCCGCCGTATTTCGGGAGTGAGCACGGACGGCGCGATGGTGATGGTGGGAGTCCACACCGATGTGGTGGCTCGTCTTCGGATGCTCATCCCCAACCTGGTTTTGTTCCACTGCATCGCTCACAGGTGCGTTGTCGTTGTTTTATTGTTTGTTTAGTCGTTTAACAGTAACATACGATGCTAATCATGCTTGTTTGTACGTCTTGCAGGGAGGCATTGGCTGCCAAAGCCGCTGCAGAGTCTATACCCACTTTCAACATGGTGGACGACGTCATCCGTGCTGTCGCTGAGTACCTGGGGCGATCATCACCGTGGAATCAACGGTTCATGGAGCTGCAGGAGATATTTACCTCCTCCAACCTCGAGGTGCAGGGGATCCACGAGGTGCGGTGGCTTTCAAGGGGTGCTGCGGTCGCCCGCTTCGTCAAGGTCCTCCCAACCATCATGGTGATGCTGTCAGAGTGGAAGGACTAGACGATGTACGAGCTCGTCACGTCCTACCGGTTTCAGTTTCTGCTTCGGTTCCTTGCGGACGTTCTGGACCTCCTCAACATCCTCTCGAAGGTTTTCCAGCATCGTGAGGTAAGAAGGTTGAGTAATCTTGTGTTTATTTTAGCCGGAAACCGTGCTCTAACTAAAACTTCGTTATGATGTGGCAGCTCGACTACCCATTGGTGCACACACAGATTGTGCGCACAACATCTCTCCTGGAGAGTCGGTACATCGACTGCGGAGATGACTTCGGCGGCGGGCATAACGAGCGGCTTCATCGATTCATCGAGAAGCATGGGCCGCAGGGGACACCAGAGATGGTGGTGGAAGGTGTGTTGTTGGATGGGAGTCTCAACCGCTTCAAGATCACCCTTCACGAGCGCCAAGTGGCGAACTATCTCGGGGCGGGGCATCACGATGCGTGTGTGGCGCTCTGCACTGACTTTGCCGAGGGCCTCGTCGAGGAGCTTCAGTCTAAGCTCAGAGACCTCGACTCTCTGTCTGGCGTGCGGCTATTCATACCTGACGAGTGGCCTCCGAATTGGGATAGGAGTGCACGGCAGGCACAGTGCCTTGAGTGGCTGTTGTTGCTAGTCACTCTGTTCCGCGCCGACGACTGCGAAGAGATTTTGCTAGGTCAGTTAGTGAAGTGATGCTCGTTCGACTGATGGCTAAACCGTTCCGTACTAATCCCTCGCTGTGTCCTATGTTGCAGGCATTGACAAGAAGCGTGCCGTGAAGGAGCTGCGGACTCTGTGCCCAGTCCTGGCCAGAGCCCCTAAGAGCGAGCGCAAGTTCAACACGTGATTGACTGCAATCCTCAAGACACATGACTGGGAGCAAGCCTACCCCAACCTCGTCAGACTCTGGGTGGCGGTTGCAGTGCTGCCTCTAAGCACCGTCGAGTGCGAGAGAGGATTCTCTCGTCAGAATCTCATCAAGACGTGGCAGAGGGGTAGTTTAAAAGACTGTAGGCTCAGTGACTTGCTGTGTATGTTTATGCTAGACTATGAACTGGACGTGCCGGGGATTGTAGAGATCTGGCGCAGCTATAAGAAACGCCGGCCAGTGACGGGACCTGCTGCAAGACACATGGAGCCCCAGAGAGCTGGGAAGGAGGCTGCAGAGGAGCCAATAGTTCAGCCGGCAGCTGGAGTAGTGTCACATGGGATAGAATCTGATTCAGATAGTTGAAGTGTTTTCAATGTATATAAAACTGGCAGCCTACAAACTTAGTGTAACTCTGAACTTACAGCCAAAAAAAAAATAGTGTAGTATGAACTTTCAGACTTCATATTGCATGCAAGTCTGACTGACAGAGTTTAGATGAGGGTGTACTCTGACCCAACAGCGTGTCCTAAAACGAATCTAGGGCCCTGCAAGGCTTGCTAGATGCACATTCGCCCGTCCCTTTCCCAGTCAGACACCCTGTAACCAAGCATGCTCTGATACGCATTTGTGTAACTGAATGGAGCATTTCTTCCGGGAGGTACCTTAGTCTCTCCATGTGCATCACAGCTTCGATGCCTCTGTAACACTCACGGATATTTCTTTACAGTGAGTGTTACACACTGGTTCCCTGCGTCCTCCACCTGACCACCTCCCTACACGGCCAGAACAGCCCAGGTGTCACTCATAAACCACTTCCTGAGAACCCCTTTGTCACTCCAGTCCAGAACTAGTCACACAATTTCCATCCTTCCTGCAACAAGCCTAAACAGGTCCAAGCCAATTCCAGTTGAACTGCCAAAAGCCTGTCACCTGCCGAGTTTCAAGCCACTACTAGCTGCCTACTGAATGCCTGCAATGCTCCCACCATCATCTTAACACAAAGCCATTAGGCGAAGATTCACTAACACCCCTTCCTCTCCCACCTCCCAGCCGAACCTACAAAGGGAAATAGCTCCCGGCGACGCCAGCTCTCCTCATCTTCTTCCTCTCAATCAATCCTTCGATGGTCCTATCCACCATATCTACGAACACACCCTCCTCTCCCACCTCCCCCTCTTTCGTATGATCCCTTAGAAGCAGCCTCGGAATATGCTTATAAAGCTCCTCCCTCATCTCCCTCTTCCTCTCCTCCGAAATCCCCCCAAGCACCTCCCCGATCCTAACCTTCCGACCAATCACATCGTCTGAATCCACCATCACCGACACGTTCCTCCGAGCCTCATCTCCAATAGCGAAGAACCAGGGGTACTGATAATCAAACGTGCCTGGAGCAAACACTACAGGAATGCACCCTGCTATTATCGAGTCAAAGAATGACCTTCTAGTGAGGCTGTCCCCGATTGGTTGAAGGCAGAATTCGGACTGAAGCATGACACCTGTCACTCTCCTAGGATCCATACATCCCCTCAGCGGAAAGTCTGGCTCAATCTCATCTTCCTCTCCCTTCCCCTCCATGCTGTCCCTCTCCTCCTTCCGTTTCTGCGCCTGCCTGCCTATATCCGCCGCTGCTGCAGTTGCCGCCTCCGCGTCAGCAACAGTACACTCTAAAAAGATGCATCTCTTAGGGTCGTTCTCACAGTCGTTCAGCAAGATCCCTCTTAGCGAGCCCTCCCACGTCGCATGCGCTCGCTTCCCGCCTACAAACGAGTACAGGTATGGCCGAGGCTGCTCCTGAACATGCCGAACCCATCCCTGGAGCTCTGCCGAGCCTACCGGATGGAAGCAGGTCGGGTAGGGAACAGAAAACACCTCCCGTTCGTACCACTCGGGAGGAGCCTCCACTGTAAGGAGTGTGACGTTCTTGAAGGTCGGTCGCCACCACAGATCAGTCCCCCATCCCTCAGGCTTATCCTGATCGCGCTTAAAATCCCAGATCGGACGGCCGAGAACGAGCACGTGGTCGCCACGATTCACCATCCTTTTGAAATCCGCGTTCTCCTCGAGTAAATACCTCTCCAGCTCAATAACCGGGTCGTCTCGCTTCTCGAAGAGCCCATGTTCCACGAGCGACCAGATCGACCAGCCCAGGTACGCCGGGATGAACAGGAAGTCTGCCGAGCCTGGGTCCGAGGTTCGGCAGGGGTGCTTCAGGAGACGCGAGTGGAAGATGAGGGCCAGCATGGAATTATCAGTGGCATACCATTGGTTCCTCCAACCCTCGCTCTCCGCTACCCTGCTGCCGCCGTTGCCGTTGCCGTTGCCGCTGCTGCTGCTGCTGATTGAAAGCAGCCGTCGACCATCAGGTTTCGCCTTGCTGCTCCTGCTGCTAGCACGGCTGCTGCGCTCCTTCCCCTCAAACGTGTCGTCCCAGGGAGGCAGTCTGGTTCCCAGCCCGCCGTGCCTGCTGGTGGCGCAGAAACCCTTGATGTTGGTGTCCAGGCAGTCTTCCAGCAGCACGCTGTTCAATTTCGAGGGTAAATTGTACACATACACCTTCCGACCCTCGCACGCTTCCGATTCTGGACCCCCGCCTTTGCGACTGCTACTCGCGTGGGGATTCCTTGCGTCGCCGTCGTTTCTCAACCCGCTGATCTTCGTCCTCTTGCTTGGCGTGCCCTTGATGCTGCCCTTTAAGTTTCCCGAATCGTCTTTCCCTCCCAGATTCTGCAAAAGCTCTTGTTCACGCTTCTGCCGTTCCGCTTGAGTCTCCAAGCGTGGTGTTGCCGTTTGACCCTGCTCATTCTGTTGATCCTTCTCATCCTGCTGATTCAGTTGATCCTGCCGATTCTTTTCATCCTGCTCCTCCTGCTCATACTGCTGGCTCTGCTGTTCCTGCTGATTCTGTTGCCATGGCTCCTCAGGGTCCAGGCCGCTCATTTTTGCTCCCACGTCGTCAACAGAAACGGCTGAATCCGACACCTCCGTTGCTCTGTGCAGTTCCTTAGCATTAAAAGACGGAGACGAGATCGGTGTCTTGAATGAAGGCCCGAGAGCTACGAAGTAGATTACCAGCAGAACCACCCCGATTGTAGAACAAGTGGCAGAGGAGGAAGGGAAGCACAGCGTCGAGACGCGATCTCGATGATGTCCCATCATGAACTGCGACACGTCGCTGCTGACACAGTCTTCAAATGAGAAATAAAAGTTATCACGAAAGCACTAAGAAACGGCCAAGATTCGAAGCTAGAGAAATCACGGCCGTTCAGCAGGAGCTTAATTTGATCGTACGAGCTGAGTTTTACGATGAAACCACTTCAGCTACGGCAATTCAGGGCTGACTTCATGCGTCCGCAACAGATTCTCGTGAGCTACGAGTCATATACTGGTGGTGGCTAGGAGGTGAATAATGAGGCACACCGAAATTAGTCAACGAATGAGCTGTGTTGGAACTGTTCCCAAGAAAAGCAGCTTCAGGGACCCTTCTCAATCATTCCGCGATAACTTCTATGAACCCCATCCCCACCTAGGGAATTCCTTCCTTTTCAGTGGCGCTCATGCTTACCTCTGAGAGAACCTTCGAATCAAAAGACTTCTCGACTGGGCAGTACCCGCAGCGCGCTTGCGACAGCGGTTTGGACACAGGCAGTGCTAGTCAGCGAATCGGTAGGGTGCTGCGAAGTCAACCACGAAGCAGCTGAGACCAGGAGCGAACCGTTACAGACTGTTACCACACATCAGCATCCTGGCCTGACGTGCTACTGTAAGGTCAAAGATCGGTGTTCGCCCAACTCGACAACATTTATGCGCCCAACTTGTGCTCTGACAGTGTCAGAACGAGCATATACGACGACGCGTTAGCAAATTTAGTACAGGTCCTACACATCCTAACGGAAAACAGAATTTTACCCTCGTCTACGAAGTTAGCTTACAAAACATCAAATCAAAATGCTTGAGAAACACTCTTCCACCTTATTTCCAACTTAAAAACCGCCCAGAACTCACCGACTGTTGAACCAAGGGAAATAATCACCAGCAGTTCCAGCTTCTCGCATTTTTTTCCTCTCAACCAGGCCATTAATAGTCATGTCAACCATATCTTCGAAAAGTCCCTCCTCTCCCACCTCTCCCTCTCTTGCATGATCTCTCAGCAACAGTCTTGGAACATGAAGCCGCATCTCTTTTCTCATCTCCTCTTTCCTTTCCACAGATATCTTCCCCAACACCTCCCCAATCTTCACTCGGCCTGAAATCACCTCTTCAGGGTCCACCATGACTGCAATCTTGCGCCGTGCCTCCGGCTTCGGGTCAAAGAACCACGGATACTGGCTGTCAAAAGTATCCGTGGAAAACACCACCGGTATGCAGCCTGCTATGATCGAGTCAAAGAAGGACCGGCGGGTTTGGCTGTCTCCCACTGGCTGTAGACAAAACTCAGACTGCAGCATTGCACCAGCAACTCTCCTGGGATCGGTGCATCCAGGAAGATCCACCTTAGGCTCTTCCTCCTCGATATTCTCAGCTATTCCCTCTCCTTTTCCTCCTGCTGCTGCTGTCTTGGCTTTTCGACTGGCCGCCTCCCGGCCTATCTCGGCTGCTGCTTCAGTTACCGCCTCCGCATCAGCACTGTAACATTCCAAAAGTAAGCATTTCTCTGGTTCGTTCTCGCATTCCTGCAGTAGAGCTCCTCTCAGCGCACCCTCTATGGTCTCCTTAGCCCGCCTGCCGCCTACAAACGCGTACAAATACGGCCGGGCGTGGTCACGAGCGTGATTCATCCAACCCTGCAGCTCTGCCGAGCCGACAGGATGAAACGATGTCGGGTAAGGAATGGAAAACACTTCTCTGCCGTACCACTCCCGTGTGGCCTCTACAGTAAGCAGTGTGACATTATTGAAGGTCGGTCGCCACCAAAGATCCGAGCCCCACTCTTTCACCCTCCTGAAGTCCCAAATTGGCCGGCCGAGCACCAGCACATGATTCCCTTGATCCACTAGCCTCTTGAAATCTGGGTTTTCTTCCAAAAGATAGCGCTCGAGTTCGATTCCCGGCTGGTCCCGATCTACGAAGAGCCCGTGTTCCACGAGCGACCAGATCGACCAGCCCAGGTACGCTGGGATAAACAGGAAGTCCGCCGAGTCTGGGTCCGAGGTTCGGCAGGGGTGCTGCAGGAGTCGCGAGTGGAAAATTTCCTCGTTATTGACGCTCTCGGTTAAAAACCACTGGTTCCGCCACCCCTCACTAGCGCCACTGGCGCTTCTACTTGTTTCACTGCTCCCGCCACTGCTCCCACCGCCGCCGCTGCCGCCGCTACCACTGCTGCTGCTGCTACCGCTGCCACTAGTCGAGTTGTTGCTGCTGCCGCTGCCCTCAACCGCATCGTCCCAGGGAGCGAGCCTGGTTCCCAGCCCGCCGTGGCGGCTGGTGAGGCAGAACCCCTTGATACGGCTCTCCAAGCAATCGTCCACCATCCACTGGTTGAAGCGCGCCGATAGCGGGTACACGTAAATCGCCCGCCCCTGGCACGCAGCCCCCACAGATACGCTCGCGGAGGCCCCCATTTCAACAGGTAAATCCGCCGCACCAGATGCTTTCGCGGCGGCCGTGGCAGGGATGTCGAGAGAAGCGGCGGGGGTGGCCGTCGCGGTGGTGTTACTAGCAGAGCCCGTCGTGGCCCTGGGCTTCTCGCCCCTGCCCGCTCTACCTCCGCCCCTTTCCCCACCCGCGTCCTTTCCCCCTCTGGCGGGGTTGGGGGTTGCCGTCGCAGCGGTGTTACTAGCAGAGCCCGTAGCAGCTGTGGGTTTCTCGCCCCTGCCAACTCTACCGCCGCCCCTTTCCGCATCCGACTTTTGAGACGTCTCAAGAGCAGCGGGGGTGGTGGCCGTCGCGGTGGTGTTACTAGCAGACTCGCCCGTCACAGCCGAGGGCTTCTCGCCCCTGCCAGCACTTCCGCCGCCCCTTTTCCCACCCGCGTCCCTTCCCCCCCTGGCCGCGCGCTTCCGTTTGTCCCCGCCAACAGCGCCTTGAGAGGCGGCATGGGAAGTGTCTAAGCGAGTGCTGCTGCTGCTGGGGGGCACATCGACGTTCTTCCGATGTTTCCGCTTTGGTTTGATTTGTTCCGTGCTATCCTGTTTCTTTTGCCCCTGCTGCTGCTCCTGTTTCTGAGGGCCTAGTTGTTCCTGCTGCTGGGTTTGCTGCGTGCGCTGCTGCTGCGTTCCCTGCTTCTTTTGCTGAGCGCGCTGCTCCTTTTGTTGCGTGAGCTGCTCCTGTTGCTGCGCACGCTGCACTTTTCGCTGCGCTTCCTGCTCCTTTTGTTGCTCGCGCTGCTCCTTTTGCTGCGTGAGCTGCTCCTGGTGCTGCGCACGCTGCTCCTGTTGCGGCGCACCCTGCTCCTGTTGCTGCGCGCGCTGCTCCTGTTGCGGCGCACCCTGCTCCTGTTGCTGCGCGCGCTGCTCCTGTTGCGGCGCACCCTGCTCCTGTTGCTGCGCGCGCTGCTCCTGTTGCGGCGCACCCTGCTCCTGTTGCTGCGCGCGCTCCTCCTGCTTCCGAAGAGCCTGCATTTCCTCCTCATGCAACAGCTCCTGCTCCGTCACCCATTGCGCCTCCCTCGCCAGCTGCACCGATTTCTTCTGCTGCGTATATTCGTCGCCCTGCTGCGTATCATCATCTCGATCCTGATTCGTAATGTCTCCATACTTCTCGTTCCCACTCAACGCCCCGGCTTCCCGTTTTGGCCACAGCTCCTGCTCCCATTGCGCCTCCGGAGCCAGTTGCGCCAGCTGCACCGATTTCTTCTGCTGCGGATCTTCATCCCACTGCTGCGTATCTTCATCGCCCTGCTGGGTATTATCATCATTGCCCTGCTGCGTATTGTCATTCTCTCCGTACTTCTCTTTGCCAATCGAGGCCCCCGCTTCCCGTTTTGTCCGCACGACTGTTACTTGCACGCTCGTTGCCAACCACTGCCCGTCCGCCTCCGTAGCTTTAGTTACATGGACGGACGGGAAGGCGGAAGGGGCGGAAACGAAGGGCTGGGTGGCTCGTGGAACGAGCTTTAATGGAGGGCCAAGGGTTGCGAAGTAGACGATCAAAAGGAGGACCCCTAGAGCGGAGCACGTGAAGTGGGAGAGCAGGAAGGGGAAACGGGACGTTTTTTCGCAGTAATGCCCCATACTTCAACGCGGATACAGTACTACGGCTAGTGCGAACTTGTGAGGAAAATAACCTGTATTTCTTGCGACGAGGAGCCTCTAATGGGTGCGTCGCTGGGTGGTAGTTCTTTTGAAGGCGGGTCGTATCAAGGCTGTGGTACTAGTCGTATCGGCGGGCAATCTTGGATATTTGAGTCGACTGGAAAATCAGGCCGTGGTCGTCGATTTGGCGGGTGTATATTGGCGAGCGCACTTGCACAAAACCCGTTGAGCGTCTGATGCGGCGGTAGATTTGGTGTACGAGAATAAGAGCGAGGTGACGGAGAAAGAACGGCCTAGGGGCGTGGACTTCTACTGGAACGAAAGGTGGAAAGGTGCTCTGACTGTATTTCATTCGGCAAATTGCTCCCGCTTTGCTGCTCCTTCTCCTGCTGATAGAAAGGCTATTCACAATGGATAATAGCCCCCGCCGGTCCCTGGCCCTGGCACCGGCCTGTAACCCGACCGTGCTTCTCTCCTACTGGCAACATTAGCCAGTCTAGGTAACCAAAAACCAGTCGTAACTGCCGGCAGCTCGCATCGTCGTAACGCAAGCTGCAAGCTGACAGAGGAGAGAAGGTATGGGGTGAAGCTACAGCGAAGAGAGTAAAACTTCCAATCCAGTTCGCATTCTCCAACCCAACCACATTTTTGTTTTGTGGGAAATGCGCGCTTCCCCTACAGACCGTCCGTTTTGCATCTGCACATTGAGATGGGGGGCATTGATGTGCGCGATTCGAATAAATCCGCACATCCACCTGCAGTTCACATTTCAATTCGAGCAGATGCCGGTGGGGCAATTGGCGTGGCGGGCCGGGCATCGGCAGACGAAGATGATTGGCTGAGCTTCCGTAGGTTTCGCCAAGGAAAGTTTCCGCTGACCTTGAAACACGGTAATAAGCGTTTCAATTTGCGCAAACGCGGTTCGAAATCTCAGTCAAGTAGGTTATGGGTGGTGGGGCGTACGGCCTTTTTCTCTACGTGCTCGTCTCCTTTTGGAACTTCACCGTCTTTCCGAATTAAGAGATTGAAAATAAATATTATTATGTGATACAGAACTATACCACTAAGTGCACACCATGCACTTACATTTCTTAAACTGAAATGCTTATTGAGCAATTCTGTAATATCTACAGATGGGCAAAAATTCGGTGACAACTACTTCAATTACTGTTGACGTTGAACTATTTCCTACACCTTTCTTTGCTTATGTCCCCTGCAACGCTTTCCCCATCCCTATCCATCCTTTTCTTCTTAAGCCGACCGCCACTTCTTCCTAGCCTAGCCTGATCTTTCGCAGCGGTGGTGGTGGTGGTGGTGGTGTGATCTAACGAGTCTGCAACTCTTTTCAGGCTGTAACGAGCCACCGGTGGTGGTGGTGGTGGAACATGTGCATCAGCATGTGCGTCAGCACGTGCAGGTGGATGTTGACTGTCAGCCGCATCCTCCTTTGTGAGCTCCTCCTTTGTGAGCTCCTCCTTAATAAGCTCCTCCTCCACGTGCCTCTTTGTCAGCAAGCCTCGCATCCACCCTTCTGACATGGCCCTCCGCCCCGCCCCTTCCTCCTCGTCCTTCTTTCGGCTGTTTGACAGTGGCGGCATGTCCTCTGGGCTATGTGCCAGCTCAGCCTCCTCCACCACACCATCCTGACATTGTACAGAAATGATATCCTCCCTCTCCAACCCCTCCTGCCTCTCCTTCCTCTCCTCCCTCTCCTCCCTCTCCTCCCTCTCCTCCCTCTCCAACCCCTCCTGCCTCTCCTCCCTCTCCTCCCTCTCCTCCCTCTCCAACCCCTCCTGCCTCTCCTCCCTCTCCTCCCTCTCCTCCCTCTCCTCCCTCTCCTCCCTCTCCAACCCCTCCTGCCTCTCCTTCCTCTCCTCCCTCTCCTTGCTCTCCTCCCTCGTCACTCGGTTCTGCCTCTCTCCTCCACCTCTCAAAATCTCTGCCTCTCCCCTCTCCTGTACCACCTCCTGCTGGAGCATCACCCCTCTCTTCTCCACCCTATCCCCTTTCTCCTCCCCATCTCGCCATTCCAACCTAGCCTCCACAACTTCTCTACGCACCACATCCTGCTGAAGCATCACCCCTCTCTGCTCCTCCCTATCCTCTCTATCTCCCTCTCGTGCCACCTCCTGCTGGAGCATCACCCCTCGCAGCTCCGCCCTATCCTCTCGGTTCTCTCCCCTAGCACTTAAAGCCTCTGCCTCTTCTCTCCCCCGCACCACCTCCTGCCGGAGCATCACCCCTCGCTGTTCCACATGCCGCAGAAGCGTCTCCAGCTCGCTTGGCCTCACAGGTTTTGTCAGGAAGTGATCCATGCCGACCTGAGAGACAGAAGGGAGAGATAGAAGGGCATAGCGTTGACTTTTGAGATCTCTCACAGCTCCCTCCGCCTCACGGGTTTTGTTAAAAAGTGGTCCATGCCGACCTGTTCACACAAAGGAGGGATAGAAGGGAGGGTATAAAATTTACTTCGGAGGTCTCTCACGGCTCGCTCGGCCTCACGGGTTTCGTCAGGAAGTGGTCCATGCCGACCTGTACACATAAGGCAAGAAAGGAAAGGTCCTGGATTGCCTTATGAGACTTCTCACAGCTCGCTCCGCCTCACGGGTTTTGTCAGGAAGTGATCCATGCCCACCTGAAAGACAGCCGGAGGAAAGGGAAAGGTACTAAGCTGATATTTGAGGATTTTCACAATTGCTTGGATTCACAGGTTTTGTCAGGAAGTGGTCCATGCCGGTCTGAAAAACAGGAGGAGGAAAGGGAAAGGTACTGGGAAACCACCTGATTGCACCACACGTTACCTGAGTGCACCGCACGTTACCTGAGTGCACCGCAGTCGTTCATGCAGCAGAGCGCTGGCAGTGAGGGCAACAATGTATGGCCGACGTAGCGACCCTTGACTCCCAGATGATGATGGTGGTGGTGGCGGTGGTTGTGGTGGTTGCGGTGATGATAGGGATGGTTGTTGTGGTGACAGCGATGGGGTTGGTAGTGGTGATGGTGATGATGGCTGTGGTAGTGGTGGTGGTGGTGGTGACACTATTGAAGGGGCAGGAGCCAGTGCAGATGGTGCTGCTGCTGCCGCTGCCGCTGCTCCTGCTGCTTCTCCTCTTCCTGCTCCTGCTGCTGCAACTGGTGTTTCAGAACAAGCCCTTTCCATCTCCTGTTGCTTCGCCTGTTCCTCTTTCTCCTGTTGCTCCTCTTGCTCCCCTTGCTCCGTTGGTTTCTCACCCCCCTCCACCTTCTCCCTTTCCTTCCTACTGCCTCGAGCTTGGTGCAAATACAGCCGTCGGATCTTCTCAGTGGCCTCAAAGCCGTCCATCACTGGCATGTGGCAGTCCTGAACGGTTGAGATTGATGGGAGGGAGGGGAAGGAGGGGAGAAGAGGTTATGGCAGGAGGGAATAGGTGCGGAGAGTTGAGAAGGTAGGCAATAGCGGGCTCAGGATGGGGGAGGAAAAGGAGGAGGAGGAGGAGGAGGAGGAGGAGGAGGAGGAGGAGGAGGAGGAGGAGGAGGAGGAGGAGGAGGAGGAGAGGAGGAGGAGGAGGAGGAGGAGGAGGAGGAGGAGGAGGAGGAGGAGGAGGAGGAGGAGGAGGAGGAGGAGGAGGAGGAGGAGGAGGAGGAGGAGGAGGAGGAGGAGGAGGAGGAGGAGGAGGAGGAGGAGGAGGGAGGAGGAGGAGGAGGATGAGGAGAGGAAGTGATTCATCAGTTGAAGTCATAAAATGCCAGCATCACTCTCATCATAACACACACACACACACACACACAAAAAAAAAAAAAAAAGAACAGAACAGAACAGAACAGAACAGAACAGAACAGAACAAAACAAAACAAAACAAAACAAAACGAAACGAAACAACCCACCATGAAGACCACGTCGTACTCCTTGCCCTCGCATGCCCGTACTGCCTCAGCCCCGTTGGAAGCAACGTCACTGACAACCCCCAGGCTCCTGAGCATCCTCTCAATCACCATCTGGTTGACTGCGTTGTCCTCTGCTATCAGACACGCCAGCCCCCGCCGCTGCTGCTTCCTCTCCCGCTCCACCTCCCTCTGCCGCCTCTCCTCTTCTTCCTGCCTCCTCCTCCTCTCCTCCCCCATCCCACTCTGCCTCCTCTCCTCCTCTTCCTGCCTCCTCCTCCTCTCCTCCCCCATCCCACTCTGCCGCCTCTCCTCTTCTCCCTTCCCTCTCCGCTCTTCTTCCACCTCCTGTCCCACTTTCTCTTCCATCCCCCCTCGCCACCTTTCCTCTTGCTGTTCATCCCTAGCGGAACCATCCGTTCGGTTGTCTCCTCCCTTGCTCCCACCACCTTCGTAGCAAGTTGTCGCAAACAGCTCGTCCTCTCTGTCGCCCTGTTTGCCCACACTGCACCAGCTCTGCCGCTTGTTTGGGCCAACTTTGGGAAAGGAAACTCCTGGTACATGCAACGTGGTACTGTGCTGTTGCTGCTGATATACCTTCTGCTTTTCCTCAAAAGGGGCTACTCCGACCAAAGTCGAACCTCCATACCTTAATAAATTCCCTTTGGTTTCCGCTGCCACTGCTGCCGCTGCTGCTGCTTCTGCTGCTACTGCTCCAGAATGAGGTGCCACGAACCCCTTTTGTGTAAGCATACCTGGAAAGTCGGTACCAGCAGCCTTTGCTACAGCTGAAGCACCTCCCTCACATGGTACACACACGGCTGCTCCTCCTTCTCTGACAGACCCTCCGAGTGTTGCAGATTTGCTCAAAGCCTGGTGCAGTGCGAGTGGGTGGTGGCGGTGGTAGCTGTTACTGGCATCTGCAGCTAAATTGCTGCTCCTTTCAGCCCCATCCCCAGCACCAGCAAAACCAGCAGCAGCAGCGCCAGCCGCAGAACCACTCAGCGTGCACGTCACACCGGTTTCAGGCATGCCCTCAAACGGGTGCAGCATCCCGTCTCTTAGCAAAGAGTCTTCCTTAAGCGCACATCTCGCAGCCGACGACACCGCGACATTAATCGTGAACGAAAACGTCGACCCGACGCCGACCGCGCTAATGAGACGGATGTCGCCGCCCATGAGGCTCACGAGGGATTTGGAGATGGCAAGTCCGAGCCCGGTGCCACCGTAGCGGCGGGAGGTGGAGGGGTCCCCCTGCATGAAGGCTCGGAAGAGTCGGTCGGATGCGTCTTTGGTGATTCCCACGCCTGTGTCTGAGACACTGAATGTGAGCCATGCTCGCTGCTGCTGCTGCTGCTGTGGTCGTGATGTTGAATGCTGCTGCTGCTTTTGCTGCTGCTGCGGTGGTGACGTTGAATGCTGCTGCTGCTGCTGCTGCTGCTGCTGCTGCTGCTGCTGCTGCTGCTGCTGCTGTTGCTGTTGCTGCTGTTGCGGTGGTGATGTTGAATGCTGCTGCTGTTGCACTGGTGGTTGGTGCTGCCGCAGCCCACATTCACTCCTAACGTCAGTTCCTCCTGTCTCATGCATCGACTCACGAGTCTTAACCCGTTTGCCGCAAGAGTCTGAATCAGTCGTGTCAAATCTAACCCTCTTTCCTCCCTTTGCTTCCTCTGCTGCGTTCCCTTTGCCCCTCCCTCGCGACTCATACCCCCTTTTTGCTAAGCCCTCCAAGCAACCCACCACATTCTCTTTTACTCCTTGCCCCACCACACTCTTCTTCTCTCCCTCCTGCCTCTCACCTCCCTCTACTCCCAGAACAACAGCAACAACAGCAGCAGAGGCAGAAACAGTATCACGAGTGGCAGCAGCAGCTGCAGTACCAGCGCCAGGACAAGCAGAGGTATCAGCATTAGCTGCTTGACTAGCTGCAGCAGTAGCAGCTCCTCTTGCAGCTAGAACTTGCTGTATCTCTTCCTCAGTAGACCGCCGAATTGATACTCGCACCTCCCCACTGCTGCGTAGCAAGAGGGAACAAAGGGAGGCAATCAAGAGATGAGGGAAAGGAATTAGCGGGAAGTGTTGCTGCAGTGGCGGCAGTAGCAGCTCCTCCTGCAACCAAAAGTTGCGCTATCTCTTCCTCAGTAGACTGCCGAATTGATACTCGCACCTCCCCACTGCCATCCACATAGCAATTGGGAAGAAAGGAGGAGAAGACTATGAGATCAAAGGAGCAACGAGAGTGGCAGCAGCAGTAGCATTTCCTCTTGCAGCTAGAACTTTGCTTTATCTCTTCCTCAGTAGATTGCCGAATTGAAACCCGCACCTCCCCACTGCTGCGTAACAAGTGGGAAGAAACAGACAGGACAGGAGCTCCTCTTACAGTCAGATCTTGCGCTATCACTTGCTCCAGTGGCACCTCCCATTTGCAAGACAGGAAAACTAAGCAGACATGAAAAGGATAGAGAGAGTCTGTGTACAAAAAAAAAAAAAAAACAAACAAAACAAAACTGGTTTTTACCTATATGATGTTGCTCAATCATGCACTCACGTCTGTGTGAACTTGATCGCGTTGGACACGAGGTTCAGAATGATCTGCCGCAGCCTCCCTGGATCTCCTCGAATGAAGCAAGGCACGTCCGAGTCAATGTGGCTGTCCAGCTGGTGGGAGCAAGAGGGGGGAGGGCGGAAAAAAAAGAGGGGGAAGGAGGAGGAAGGAGAGTGGGGAGGGACTTGACTGCGTTGGACACGAGGTTCAGAATGATCCGCCTCAGCCTCCCCGGGTCTCCCCGAATGAAGCAAGGAACGTCTGAGTCAATGCGACTGTCCAGCTGGTGGGAAGTAAGGAAGGGAAGAAAGGAAGGGAGATGGGGAGGCGTGGAGAGAAGGGGGCGAGGGGGGAGACGTGGATCGCACTGCATCTTCCCGGAGCTCCCCGAATGAAGCAAGGCACGTCAGAATCAATGCGACCGACTGTCCAGCTGGTGGGAGCGGGAGGAGGGGAGTGAGGGGAGAGTTGGGAGGTGGTGTGGGCTTTGAGAAGTTGGGGAGTGGAGAGCGAGGCAGCACACCCACTACACGCACGCAGCTCACTGAGCTATGTCTGGATCTCACGAGGCAGTACACCCAAACTGCCCCTTCAGCCCCTTCCATCCAGCCCAACATACAGCACTGCACCTCAAGACTGACCCGCAAACCCACCCCACCCCTCAACACCGCCCTCAACGCCCCCATTAGCTCCTCTAGGCTCTCACCTGCAGGCCCTTGTCTGCTGCAGCAACGGACAGCATGGCAGAGGCTTCTTTCCCGCATGTAGCAAGGCAGAAGGGCACATCTTTCCAGAGGCAGCGTTTTTTTAGTCGACTCAAAACAAGGCAGAAGGGCACATCTTGAAGAGGTCCAATGCTCCTAACTCTCCCTGACTTTTGAGTCGACTCAAAAGTCACCTCTAGAGGCAGCGACTGGCTCTCTCTCGATCTTGGAGAGGTCCAACGCTCCTAACTTTCCCTCAAATCCACTGTCCCACCCTCTTTCCTCACCTGCAGGCCCTTGTCCGCAGCAGCAACGGACAGCAGGGCAGCGGCCTCTTTCACACATGTGGCGAGGCAGAAAGGCACGTCCTCTAGCGGCAGCGACTGGCCCTCTCTCGATCTTGGAGAGGTCGAGCTAGGGGCGGGTCAGCTAGAGGTCCAGCACGACTAGCTGCCCCGCCCCTCACCACCACCCTCCTAACCTGACTCACCTGCAGGCCCTTGTCTGCTGCAGCAACGGAGAGAAGAGCAGTAGACTCTTTGACGCACGTGGCGAGGCAGAAAGGCACGTCCTCTAGCGGCAGCGACTGGCTCTCGATCTTTGAGAGGTCCAGCACGTCTGAGATGATTCGCAGCAGGTTGTCCCCTGACGTGCGGATGATGTCCAGGTAAGAGCGCTGCTCCGCTGTGAGGGGCGTGTCTAGTAGCAACTCCGCCACCCCCACCACTCCTGGTATGGTAGAGGGAGGTTGGAACGAAATGGAAAGGGGAGAGGTCCAGCACGTCTGAGATGATTCGCAGCAGGTTGTCCCCTGACGTGCGGATGATGTCCAGATAGGAGCACTGCTCCGAGGTGAGTGGGGTATCGAGAAGAAGCTCCACCACCCCCACCACGCCTGAGGAGAGAGGAGAGGGGAAGGGGTGAGAGACACGGCACACGGAGGTCCAACTCGTCTGAGATGATTCGCAGCAGGTTGTCTCCTGAGGTTTGGATGATGTCCAGGTAGGGTGCCCAACACGCACCACAGCAGGTTGGTTCTCCAGTATACTTTCAGGCACCACGGCCACTCAGCACGCACCACAGCAGGTTGGTTCTCCAGTATACTTTCAGGCACCACGGTCACTCAGCACGCACCACAGCAGGTTGGTTCTCCAGTATACTTTCAGGCACCACGGCCACTCAGCACGCACCACAGCAGGTTGGTTCTCCAGTATACTTTCAGGCACCACGGCCACCCAGCACGCACCACAGCAGGTTGGTTCTCCAGTATACTTTCAGGCACCACGGCCACTCAGCACGCACCACAGCAGGTTGGTTCTCCAGTGTACTTTCAGGCACCACGGCCACCCAGCACGCACCACAGCAGGTTGGTTCTCCAGTATACTTTCAGGCACCACGGCCACTCAGCACGCACCACAGCAGGTTGGTTCTCCAGAGTACTTTCAGGCACCACGGCCACCCAGCACGCACCACAGCAGGTTGGTTCTCCAGTATACTTTCAGGCACCACGGCCACCCAGCACGCACCATTGACGAGGGTGCGGGCGGATCTCGTGGCTCATGTTGGCCAGGAAGATGCTCTTCGCCTCGCTTGCCGCCACCTTCCCAGGTGAACCCACATTCTCCAATAAACTCCCCCACACCGTACATGGTCTGCCTCACCGTTCATGGGGGTGCGGATCTCGTGGCTCATGTTGGCCAGGAAGATGCTCTTTGCCTCGCTCGCCGCCTCTGCCACTTCTTTGGCCTTCCGCAGCTGCTCCTCCTGCCGCAGCGTCTCTGTCAGGTCGTGCCACGTGCCCACAAACACACTGTCCGCGCCCACACGCATGAGCTGTGTAAGAGTGGGGCGGAAGGGTGGGTGGGGGAGGTGGAGAGGTGAGACATTCGGAAGGCTGCAGCTGCTCCTCCTGCCGCTGCGTCTCTGTCAGGTTGTACCACGTGCCCACAAACACACTGTCTGCTCCCACACGCATGAGCTGTTCAGAAGAGCGGAGATGATTAGGAAGGAGGGGGACGGGAGGACGGGAGGGGAGAGGGGGAAGGGGACGATGCTCCCGGGTTTAATGTGAGGTCTCGCCAAGTATCTACAAACACACAGTCCACTCCCACACGCATGAGCTGGTTGTGAAGAGGAGAGGGGGGGACGGACAGGCGGGGGGACAGGAGCGGGGAAGGGGAGGGGGAGAGGGGACGGTGCTCCTGGGTATGCTTTGAGAAGCATTCAAACTCCTTGGCTCGCCACAGCTCCTCCTCCTGCTTCAGCATCTCTGTCAGGTCGTGCCACGTGCCCACAAACACACTGTCCCCGCCCACTCGCATGAGCTGCGTCAGAGAGGGGTCAATGCCAGGCGGGGAAGGGAAAGGGGAAGACGTCAGGAAGGTGCTAGCTAGCTGCTGCTCCTCCTGCCTCAGCGTCTCTGTCAGGTCGTGCCAAGTGCCCACAAACACATTGTTCCCGCCTACTCGCATGAGCTGCTAAGGAGAAGAGGAGTGGACGGCAGGAAGAACGAGAGGACGGGAGGACGGGAAGGGGGAAGGGGAGGGATGATCCGCTTTTGAGTCGACTCAAAGGGAGGGATGATCCTTCCACTCATTAGCTCGCCGTAGCTCTTAGCTCTTAACTTGTTGACGCTCATTAGCTCACCGCAGGGCAAAGGCCTATCACCACTGTAAGAGTGCAACACGCGCAGTGGGACTTTACTTGGTGGTGGATCCGAAGAGGTAGGAGCTCCCCGTCTCACTTCCTGCAAGTCCACGGCACCACCACCTCACCCCTCTCTGCCACCTCCCGCCCCACCCCGCGATATGTAAGTGTGTGTGCAGTCACAAAGTTGTGCAGAAAAGATTCACCTGGTAGTGGATCCGAAGGGGCAGCAGCTCCCCGTCTCGCTTCCTGTAAGTCCACGGCACCACCACCTCCCCTCTCTCCGCCACCTCCCGCCCCACCCTCGCCGCTTTCTCCTCAGACCTCTCTCCATCCGGCTGGAATTCGGGGGAGAGAGGAGGGGAGGAGCACCCCAGGGCAACGGCGTGCCGGAGCGCCGCTTTGGAGGGGTAGCGGAGGAGTAGCAGGGATGCTGGATTGCAGTCGAGAAGCTGGTGGCTCATGCTGTATACCACTATCGGATCCTGGTGTAAAGGGGATGGAGAGGGAGGGGATGGGGATGGGGAGAAGCGGAGGGAGTTGGGATGGGGATGGGGAGAGGCGGAGGGAGTGGGGGGGAGGGAGATGGTGAGCTGGAACTCCTGGAAAGAGAGGAGGAGAGGAGCAGCCGAGGGCAACGGCGTGCTGTAGGGCCGCTTTGGAGGGGTAGCGGAGGAGGAGCAGGGCTGCTGGGTTGCAGTCGAGAAGCTGGTGGCTCATGCTGTATACCACTATCGGATCCTGTTGTAGGGGGGATGCGGGGGTGTGGCAGTGGGGGGATGGAGCGGGAGGGTGGGGATGGGGAGACAATCGCCTTTAGACAGTGTCACTTGTGCTTTTTAGTTGGGCCAGAAAGTTATAACCACCTTGGATCTCTCATAAACCTTGTGCTTAGTTGGACCACCTTGTGCTTTTCAAACACCTATATCGTCCAGCATATTCTCTATCCTTGAACCAAAAAGCTGTGAGATCACCTTGGATCTCTCGTAAATGCCCCTGAAAAGCTCATACTCCTGCAGTGCCTCTTGTAGCCTTCCCGCTGCGTTGCTCGCCCATCGAACCACGCCATCAGCACTAACACCACCACCTGCATCGGCAGCAACACCATGTGCTTCGCTATAAGGTGCCTCTATACATGCTGCTGCTGCACAAGAATCCGCACCCGCCGCCCCTCCTTGAGTCGCCCTGACACTTTCTCCTGCAGCAACTGCTGCATAAGGTTGCTCATCTTGTCGAGCTGCTGTTGCTCCTGCTGCTTCTGCAGCTGCTCCTGTTGCTGCTCCTTTTTCTGCCACTCCTGCTCCTGCTGCTGATGCTGCTCCTGATCCTGCCGCTTCTTCCCTTGCTCCTGCGCCTGCTCCTGCTATTCCTGCTCCTACTGCTCTCTCTCCTTCTTCTGCTTCTGCTCCTGCTGTGCCTGCTGCTTCTTCCCCTCCCTCTACATCTGCTGCCTCCCCTGCGCTGCCTCCTTCCTCACCCGTTCGCCCCTTCCTTCCCCCTGCTATTTCTTCACCAACAGCAAAACCCTCCCCACAAGCAACCTGCATCTCTTGAACCAGCTTCTGCCCCCATTTGGACAGCTCTTCCAACGGGAGGTGGCAACTGGGGGAGAAGAGACTAGGATCGCCAGGGGTAGCTGCAGCAGTGGCGGGGATGGTGGTCATAGCTGCTGGTGCGGAAGTGGGAGCATCACCAGTGGTTGTTACTACTATGGCAGGAGAGGCGGCCGGATGAATGGAATCTGTGGAGGTGCCTTTACCGAGGTGACACACTGTCTGAATTGCCTGATTTAGAGCTGAGACAAGGTGTGCTGTGGTTCTGCTTGTGACAGATTTTCGGATCTGGGAAGTTGGGGCAGGAAAGAAAAAAGAGGGAGCAGGAGAAAAAGGGTGTGTGCATGAGTGCGTGGAAGTGGAGAGGAGAGAGGTGGGGCTGCAGGGAGAGAGGTGGGGCTGCAGGGAGAGAGGTGGGGCTGCAGGGAGAGAGGTGGGGCTGCAGGGAGAGAAGGGGGAGGCAAAGGACAGAGATAACGAGAGAAGAGGTTCGAAGGAGCAGAGGTTAAGGCATAGTTGCCACTTACGCACAAGGTAAGAATGAAAGAAAAATAATATCAGACAGAAAATATCACTGCTAGTATTTCACGACACACACACACACACACACACACACACACACACACACACACACACACACACACACACACACGCACACGCATGCGCCCGCACTCACACACACAAACACATCACACACATGCAAACACACACACACACAAACACACACATGCACACACACACACAACACACACACACACACACACACACACACACACACACACACACAAACACATCACACACATGCAGACACACACACAAACGCACAGACACATACACACACACACACACACACACACACACACACACACACACACACACACACACACACACACACACACACACGCTCTGTGTGTAAAAACTAGATAATCAACGCACTAGCACACGTTCACGCATTACTTCCTCTCCGGTGTGCATCCAAAAAACAGAACCAGCGCCTCTATTTAGACACAGCCAATGTAATTTTGACTTTAAAGTTATCGTGTGGACTTCGGATTGGGAGAGCAGGAGTAGTAAGCAGAATTGTTACCTGTTGGCTTAGCTCCCCAGGAGTCTTCACACGAAAGCTGGCAACTAGAAGGTTTTCAGGACCCAAGGGACAAGCCGTGCTGCCATGCGGCGTAGAAGTTCTACTAAGGGTGTGAACCATATCTTCAACTTGTAGTAGCTCCAGTGTGACTTCAACGGGAAGCGGAGCCTTCTGTAACGAGGCCTTTTCTCGTACAGCTGTTTTACAAGATCCACCAGCATCATACTTTCCAGTGGACTTAGAGGCATTATTGGAATCCGGGGTAGCTCCATGCTTCAGCGGAAAAGCACAACTACTAATGATGTCGGTGGAGATAGTACCAATGCACTGACAATTTTGAGCGTCAGAATTGGGCAAGGCGAGTTTTCCTTCCAGACAAATTTTAGTTTTTTTCTGGGAAAGCAACGGATCAACAACTTCAACCCAACTGAAGCTGGAGCTCCCCTTAGATTGGGCTTTTATGTTTGCAGCAGCTGTCTCCGTGGGAACTTTTTCACTGGGATCTACGAGGAAAATGTCGGTAAAGTGGAGGGACTTCAGCTGATTTTCGCAGCAAGCGCCAAGCGCAAATAAAGCTCCTCTGCTGACAGCGATTATGCGGGAATCTGCTGGTGAGAGAACGAGCTGAGATGTTCCTTGGGATTGCCTAATATAGTGAAGCAGTGTCATGATTGGCGAACAACACAAATGCTAGGCGAAGCGCGTGAGGAAACGACGATGATGCGCTTAGCAGTAACCGCACTCAATCACAGCGGCAAGAGCACATTAGTATCTCTTGAATCAAGGTGAAGTAGCACCAAGTGTCCTCCAGATCTGATTTCTTTACCAGATTACTATTTTGTAGCAAATCTCATCCCAGCATGTGGGCCCTGGGTTTTTGCCTTGGCGATGTTTGGGTGATGTTGGGAGGGTGATTTGTTGGGGGTGGGGGAAGGGGGAGGAATCTGCTGCTGTAACGGTGCACTTGCAGGCACGCGTGATTCAGGGTTTGTCCTCTCCCAGCCAAGCTCCCCACACCAGCACCACCCCGCCCCGCTCTTGCTTCATGTTTTCTTTCTCGAACTCTGCCAGGCGGAGATTGCCCACCAGATGGGGTCAGATGAGGAGTGGTGGATTCGGGTTTGATGCAGGATAAATCAGATCTGCGAATGTGGAGTGCTAAAGAGAAAAAGGAGTTGGATCGAGTGTAGAACGGTTTCGAAAGTTTCGGGGGATTCTGGGTGGCACCTGGAAACCCTGGGACGGGACCAGAACCTGGGCTGGGAGGAGCTGTGCGGGCGGAAGTTCACTCTACCCCCTGCCCCCCAGAAGGCTGCCATTTGGGAACCCTACAAGGACCCAGAAGGGTTTGTTGGCAGGATGGAATGTACAACTTGACGAACCCTGACCGTTCGATCTGCCAGCACTCGCGATCTGACGCAAGCTTCTGGACTACTAACTGCTGCACTCTAGGGTTTCTACTGGATGGAGAGGAGAGGAGGGGGGGGTTCGGGAGCATGGGGGGAGCAGACGAGACTGGCTGAAATTGGTGAGGCTGGATAACATGTTATTTTTTCGCCAGCGTGGAGCAGAGCCAGGGCCACACAAGCGCAGTCCGCACCAGGACGGTTTGGACGCACCAAATTCCAGTCATAAGGGATAGGATATGATATAAAAAAGATTTTTGTTCAGGCGGCTTTACCGTAAATGAACTGTACAGTGTAATGGCATGATTAAAATATAAGAAAAGCGCTGCCCATATGAGAATTAAGCCAAACTGCTTCATCTGTTCACTACAGTATACAGTACAGACGTCAACTGCAAGAGCAGTCGACGTGTATGACTGTTCCTTACCACACACGGGCAGGATTCATTCAACCCTTGAACACAGCACGTCATGTCGCTGACGTTTTCTGTCATCCATCATCAACCCAACCAGCGCTCAGTGACGTCTCGATTCATGTTTTGTCTGATTGAAACTGACTTCCATCTTTTGCGGTCCACCATTTTGGCGGGACCTGCTCTCGTCGATGTTTCCTTTCCACAGCCTGAAACTTCTGGTTCGTGAGTGGTGACGTGAGTCCCACCAAGCAAACTCACACCTCAACTTCAACATGTCGTTTGTACCTTTTTTTATAAATGAAGTGTGTAGAGTGTTATGTACCTCTTAAGGAAGTTTTTCGGCATTCCTTACGGAGCCCGACTACATCGCGTACAGCAACAGCCGTTGTTCGCCCGTTGCTGCTAACGGGACTTTGCCAACCTCGCGTGCACTGTTTTGCCAAACCTCGCACTGCTGGCCCGGCCGTGTCGGCCTACGCTTTGGGACTAGCCCGAGCCTCGCCGCCAGCGTAGCACTAGCTAGCTCGCACGCACCGCGTTACCGTTTGCATATTTCGCGTATAAATGTTCGCTCATGCCTTCGCTCACATCTTTGTACTCGTTTGACACTCTACTGCAATCCTCGCTACCACAATCCATTGCACTTGTCACACTTGGTATTCAGAGCCTCTTTCTTTCGGACCGCGCATCTCCGCACCCCCAGGAAATCAAATTTTGATTTTTCACTCGAAGGGACTCACGCACCTTAGCACCTAGGAGCCGCTGTCCTCGCGTTCTCCCGTAAACGCGTGCAGCCACGACTGTGCCTAGACTAAGACGAGCCGACACCTTTCGCCATGGCTGAGCACACTGATATCACGACTCTCACGCATGAGCTCTTGAACGATCTGCTGCGACAAATCCGCGAGAGCGCCGAGGAAATCGCGACTGTGACAGCAGAACGCTCGTCCTTGCAGAATGACCTCACACGAGCACAACAAGCACAATCTCAAGCACCTGGCACTTCGGAACAGCCCGCACCATAGGCATCACAACACGGAAGCGTGGGGCAACCCGCGAGCGCAGCCAGTGATGGCGTCGTCCGCCCCGACGAAGACGACGACCACGGCACGACACACCCCGAAGCAACGAATGCGGCCCGAAGCCAGCCACGCGTCACAATTTCGGCACCAACCGACGGTTCGGCACTGCCGTCACCGATGCCGCTGAAGCCGCAGCGTCCGCCATACTTCGATCCCAGTCAAAGGGGTGGTCCTACCGTTCAGGCGTGGTTGTTCACGATGAACAATTTTTTCGATGCCAACTACGTCTCGAAGGATACGGTGAAAATCTGCTACGCCGTGTCGCTGCTGCGAGGACCCGCCATGGATTGGTGGCGCGTCATCGTCACGAAGCCGTTAGACTACGCGACTCTACCGTCACGGGAAGGACAAACCAGACCCTGGGCGCCGTCATATTTTGAGGAGGTGCCCCAATATCGCACGTGGGACGCGTGGTGTGCAGGTCTGCGCGCTCGTTTCGAGCCAATCGCGGCTTCGATCGCGGCGCGACAGAAGCTCCGCACTTGGCGCCAACTCGGTTCCGTCCAAGACTACACGAGCGGATTTCTGGCGCTATGTGAGCAGATGGGATACATGCACGAGAGCGAGCGCATCGACCGCTACATCGGCGGCCTGAAGCAAGACATCGCTCAGGAAATCCAGCTTCGCGGCGTCACCGACTTTCAAGAAATTATCGCTATGGCGGAGAAACTCGACTTCTTTTGCCGACCGAGACCGGGGTCCTACGGAAGCAGCCATTGGGGACATCGTCCTCGTGGGACGAACGAGATGTAAAACATACATGACATACGTAGTCTGTGTAGGCTGTAGTGGGGTAGACCATATGGGGTACAGCACTGCTAGGTTTCCCTACTTGTACCCATCTCCTTGCTAGTTGATTCATTCCTCTTTCTTCACATGGTATAAGAGCGGGTTCCCTAGTGTGACCGTTTCTTCCTAAGGGCCCACCATCTAAATTTTTTCCTACCCTGCACGTAGTACGCTTCGCGCTCTTACCTGCCCTATCCTTTCGAGGCCGCTTAGCGGCCCCTTCGCAGCCTCTTAGCGGCCCCCTTCGCGGCCCCTTAGCGGCCCCTTCGCGGCCCCTTCGCTGCCCCTTTGCGGCCCCTTCGCGGTCCCTTAGCGGCCCCTTCGCGGCCCCT